TATCTGGGGAGCTGGAAGATGAGAACTGGCGACTTGGTAGTACAACTCCAGTACGCGGAGGTGACTTGCGAGAGGTCAAGAACTTGCAGAAAAAAGGTGTTCCTACCACCAAACGCTGCGCCTGCCACGAAATCTGCACTTCCAAGTCCACCGCGCGCTGCGCCTGCCACGAAATCTGCACTTCGAGGTTCACCAAGCGCTGCGCCTGCCACGAAATCTGCACTTCGAGGTTCACCAAGTGCTGCACCTGCCACGAAATCTGCACTTCGAGGTTCACAAAGCGCTGTACCTGTCACGAAATCTACACTTCGAGGTTCACAAAGCGCTGCGCCTCCCACGAAATCTGCTGCACCTGCCACGAAATCTGCAAACGGTCCAAAAGTCACGATTCACTGCGCCTGTCACGACATCTGAGCTCCTTGACGATCACCGCCATGTCCAAAGTGCTGCGCCTGCCACGAAAACTGCATTTCGAAGTAAAACAGCTCCGATCCCTTGCACCTGTCACGAAAAGTCGACTTAATTTGGAGCACCAAAGCACGAGGTTTCCCTTGCGCCTGCCACAAAAAGTGATCACCGTGCACGGCACCACAACGAGAGCACAGTCGCTGGAAGCACCCGCCGCAGGCCCCCAGATTCTACGAGCCTGCGCAGTCGAAGTGCACATGGACGATGTCGAGAGGCATGAATGTACTGCAAATAGCCGCGAATCAGCCGCACACGCCCGCGCGCTTCAGCGATCTAAGCATCAGCTTCCTTTCCCTTACCGTAAGAACCCCTCAGTGTGCCCACACTGTTGGTGAAAAACATTGAATAATTTGCAGCAAAAAACAAAAACTGTGAAAAACACCCCAAAAAAAGAAACAACAAAACCTTGGGGAAACCAATAACAACCTAGGAAAAAAACATGTGAAAACAAAAAAACAATTCTCAGAGACTCTTGGCTGGACCCCCCCTTTCCTCAAGACTTCCCAAGAATTGTCTTTTGCTTTGTTTTCCCAATGTTTTTTTGTTTTTTCGTTCTTCCTAGGTTGTTATTGTTTTTCTCGAGTTTTTTCCTATATAGGTCAATCTGTATTTTTACTATTTCGCTCAACCTTCAAGCATGTGAGCCTAAGCCTCACCTAAAGGCATATGTTCTTTGCTCTTAGAATGAAAGCATCTGAGCCCAACACTCCCTTTGTCCTTGTCGAAATCTCCATGTACAAGTCTGTGCATTAACTTCTGATTGGTATCAATGTGGTTGCCACTTGCATGCCCAATCAGCTTGACATGAAACTGTACATCAGCTCTTACCCGCAGAAAATTAGAAGAAAGCTTTTAACATACAAGAATTCTATATAGTTGTTTAAATCTAAAAATGATTATCTGCAGAGATCTGTAGAGAATCTTTTCTAACAAAAACTCGTCTATATAAAATCTTTCCAAATCTAAACATAAATATAAGCAGAGATCTGAAGGACAATTGTTAAAATAAACACTTTTATGGCCTGCTTCTTTCCTAATTATCTTGTTCAAAACCATCTGAATGATTTCTGCTTCCAAAACAATAAATGACCCTGACTCAGGAATAGATAATATATTTGTTCATATAGAGAGAGCAGGAATAGATTATATGTGTGTTTGTATGGAGAGAGGCTGCCACTGAAGCATTTACCTAAAATTTTGGTAAAACCAAAACCCAGGCCCCATGACCACCCGCTCTCTACACATATATAGATATATATAATTGCATTCGCTACTCTCAACTTGAGATAGAAGGGGGTGAACGAAAGGCAGCAAATGGGCAGGAGAGGAAAGGAGAGAGGATCGCAACGGGGGAGTCCAAGTCTCGAGGCACGAGCGCTTCTGATTGAATTTGACATTGCGCGTGGTTTGGCGGTGGCTCATGTCAACCTGTGACCCAGCATGCGGTTCCCAAAGAAACAGACCGGAGGCTGCAGGTCATACCCAAACAAACCCTAAAGAAGTGAAGCCCTCAGCCCCAGCAAGACAAGCCCAAAGAAACCCCAAAGTAGTGAAGCCCAAGCAAAACAAGGCCAAAGAAAACCCTAAAGTTGGCCCTCAGCCAAGCCTGAAAGAACCCGAAAGAAGTTAGCCCTGAACAGCCCGCCACGCTCCGTCCAAACCAACCCAAAGAAACCCTAAAGAAGTGAACTTCTAAGCCGAGCCTGCAGAAACCATCAAGAAGTGAGACCTGCAAAATCCCGCGAACCCCAAGCAAGATAAGCCCAAGGAAACCCTAAGTAGTGAAGCCCTACGCCAAAGAAACCCTGAAGAACTCAAGCCCTCAGCCAAGCCTAAAGGCACCCGAAAGAAGTCAGACCCGAACACCCCGCAGCCCACCCCAACAAACCCTAAAGAAGAGACGCCATGAAAGAAGCGAACCAGCCATACCCAAACAAACAAATCCTATAGAAGCGAAGCCCCCAGCCACAGAGACCCTGATGAAGTAACCCCGCAAGCCAAAGCCAAAGAAACTCTAAAGACTAAAGAAGTGAAGCCCTAAGCCAAGCCCAGAGAAACCCTGAACCTGCCAGCCGAGCCCCCAAAAACCTAAAGTAGCAAACTTCGGACGCTAAACCCAAAGACACGATAAAGACCTCAGACCTGCAAAGACTAAAGACATGAAGCCCTAGAAGCCCAACCAAAAGAAACCCCAAAGAAGTGAAGCCCTAAGCTCACAAGCCAAAGAAACCCCAAAGAAGTGAAGGGTGAAGCGAAGCCAAGCCTGAAGAAACCCTAACGAAGTGAGACCCGCAAACCCAGCGAAACCCCAGCAAGACAAGCCCAAACAAACCCCAAAGTAATGAAGCCCAAGCAAGACAAGCCCAAAGTAGTGAAGCCCTGCACCATTTCAAAGCCAAAGAAAGCCTATATAAAAGAAGTGAAGACCGAAGCCACAACTAGAGGAACATTAAAAGGCGATACCCGAACATCCGGAACATCACTCACCTACTATAGTTTCAGCTCGAATTCGAGTTCGAGTTCGAATTCGACTTTGAGGCCTTCCAGGGTTGAGCTCTAACAGTTCCAGCTTGAGTTCGACTTCAAGTTTGAGCGGGGCATACTATGCAAAGAAACATGCCTCAAGAATTGTCCAAACATCTCAAGATTCGCATCCGCAACGGCGCAGGGGGGATTTGATCCAGGGGGGCCCCCCCTGTCGAACAGAATCCCTTCTTACAGGACCCAAACTCTAGGTAAATGGCAAAGTCCTGCTTGCAATACATGTTTGCTAAAGCAAAAAGAACTCAGGTAGCCTGAGGCTGCCTTTCGTGAAAAGTCTATAGAGTCTAACTTCTCGATCGTTTCAAAAACGCGAGGACGAAGCAGAGTAGTAGAAGCGCGCTTGGTATGGGATTTTGTAGGCAATGTAGACCTTCAGATGAGCAGAAAGCAGAAGCACCTTTTGTGTGATATGTGGTGAGCAGAAAGCAAAGGAGCAGAAGCAGGCGTATACATGAATTCGTCCAGATGCATCATATCACGCGTCGTTTGGACCTCACCGTGACAAAAACAAGAGCACAATTCGCGTTGCAATCGACAACAAAACCTGAATAAGAGGTTTATTGAATATGGATTTCACGACATTTCACGTATCAAAAATCATATTTGCAGCTCCAAATCCAAGGGGGAGCACTTCCAGTGTGTTTATGTTTTCTTGCGGTTGCGCAATCACATTGCTCTTGCACAAAGAAGGTTCTAACTCCACAGGTGTTCACTTCTTTATCTTGATCTTTCCTTGCTGATATGGTTTCCCTTTCCGCAGCAACCTCTTCTATTCCTCAATGCCCTTGCCTCGCGCTCAAGTAGTATTTAAGGTTATTGAGAATATATATTTGAGAATCAATCGAGAATGGTCCAGAATAGGCGGAGTTTGACCACATGTTGAAGGATTGCTTAGGGGGCATCGATTTGGCAAATTGTGCGTACATATATGTATATAGTTATATTATGGTACCCCTCCAACTCCGCAAAAAAATAAATATATACATCAAAACCATGCACCCCAGAAACAGCTACGAAAGACACCGCAAACACTAGTGCTCTCGTTAGAAGGGTATATAAACCATTTTTGGTGTGTATAGTGTATGAATATATATATATATACACATCAACGATGAAATCTCAAATGATGCTTGCATGCTTCATCTTGCCTGCGTCTGGATGTGCGTCTGGATGTGGGTCTGCGAGGAGTTCCGGCACCTCTTGGCGAAGGTGATGACCAGTGCGGAATAATCCTGGAAAGTCAAGGATTACGATGCAGTCAATGCAGTCAGAAGTGGGGCTTCGTGGATGCAACTTCTGAACATGAGATGCAAGAAAATGAAAGCATGGTCGTTCTGAAATTTGTGATTTACTCCATGCTAGCTGCAAGAACTCCGTACTTCGCTCCTCCTCACCCTCTCGTGGAGGTTTGAAGGTTTGAATGATTTGCCTTTGAACCTCTGGAGGCGAGGATGCAACGTACCTGAAAGCGTCCTGCAGCACGACGACATAAGCAGAGAGTTCAAGCACTGTTTCGCCCTGGAAACTCGAAATTGTCCTCATCACATGGATACCGAACTCTGAAAGCCTGCACGCTGCTAAAAGGAATTAAGCTGCATGGGCTCTCTGCTCAACGCAGTGGCAAAAGGGGATCCGAAGGCTGAGTGCATTCTTGCGCGCGTATGGTACAAATTACATAGGCAAACAAAGAATTCTAGAAGCATTCATGGCAAATAAGGAACAGCTTCCCTCTATTTACGCAGCAGGTTGCACTCGGCGAATGCCTTTAGTGATCCACAGACGGCCCCAAGTAAGTCGATTCCCCCCCTTTCATCTGGCTTGATTCATTTCCAGCAAAATGGCATCCCTGTATGTATCATTCCCCAGGCAACTGCATACTATTGTCGCAAAAGCACAGTGGGGTTGCCTCTGCTTTTGGTCAACCGTATCAATCGAAGTTTCCAGAAACCAGAGCTTGCTAAGTTTACACTTGGGACCTCACGGAACTTTCCGGAAGCTCCTGAAACCTGCCTGGGGCCGAAGCAAGGAACTTTCTGGCTCAGCTGGAGCCCCAATTTGGAACCTCACTTGTATAACCTCACGGAACCCACCAGGGAAAGTGGAATCAGTGGAATCCCATCCTGTGAACATCCTGAAAAACGGCCTATATTATAGCCTAGGCCACTTCGGAACCTATGTGGGCTGAAGACCCAAAAGCCTAGTGTTTCTCGAGGCGAAGTCAATGAACTTTGATACCAGTACATGGAGAAGCTGCAGTCTGGTTCCACTTCTGCTTGCATACACAGCCCCACTCCCTCTCTTTACTTCTCGATAGCCTCCAGTTCTTCTCGCGACACTGGGATGTCGACGTGGGGGTGCAGTTGAGGCACCTGACAGGGTTGTGACCACTCAAGAGACCAAAACAGGAACAAATGATGACTAAGGATGGCCAAAGTTCCAACGAGTTCAATCAGTGGGAAAGAGGGCAGGGGCCAAGCGAGTGGCCACGACATCCGCGCGAGGAACAAATCTATGCCGCCGTTCAAGTGCAAACCTTGGCAAGAAAACGTTTGCAAAGCGCTGAAGCTGCAAGTGCGCAGCTTCCCTTTGAAACTTTGCCCTCTTTTCCTTCTCTGGGGCAGGCAGTCCGTCCACGTTCGTTCTTGCAGCTTGTGTGCTGTCGCCGCTTCTTCGTGAAGCTGATGATTAAGGCAGAATAGTCCTTTCACAAGGTGTAGTATCTGGAGGCTCGCACGATTAAAGTTGGCAAGCAAATGCTTTCCACATCTGTCCTGCTCACCCTCGTTCTTCGGCCTGAAGTCGTGCAGCACCTCCTTCTGCACCTCGCAGTGCTCATCAGCACATACATCCACATCATATACATATAAACACAACCCATCTCGGCTAAAATGTGCACTGCACTCATATGAGATCAAAGGTGTGGAAGACTCCGTTTAAGCGCCTCCAAGCTGGAGTTCACAATATAATTGTAGGCCTAAGAGAGGGGGAATCCGAATCCGCCCACTACGCATCTGGGACACAAACAGGGTCGAGCTGCTGCATCATCAAATGGGTACTGAAGGCGGAAGGACTCCAATTCAGCGGCCAGCTCACTCATCGCCAAACAGCTCCTGAAGTTCTTAGGAGAAGGACAACGCCCAGTGCAACCAAGGGCCACCCGAAGGCACCAAGTTTATAAAGTTAGCCGTCCTGCGCTGCGAACACAAAGAATCTACTAGGGGATGTTAATCTACCATGCTTTATAGGGCTGGCAATGTCATCGACTGATACATCCTTTGCACATGGATTTGCGTGAAGGACCGCGCTCTCGACTTCATGTTGGGCAAAGCCCTTGCAACAAGGCTCTTGGGCTACGCCTGACAGGGCTGGATTATCTGCCAGACAGGGCTGGTGCCATGGCTGGAACCACGCCAATGAGTCCTTGAACCAAGTATAAACCTGGCACACAAGATAGTGATCAGAAGACTGAACACGATGGCCAGAAACCCTCAGAATGCTCATGATGCTCTATTTGCAAAGGCACAATTTACATGCGTTTCTTTTACCCGGCTATCTGGCAAGATCTAGGCAAAGCCTAGGGCATTTGCCCAGCTCTTTGGCGAAACAGAAGCGGATAGAATTGCTACAGGCCACGTGCAACGAAACCAAGCTCTTTGAAGCAACCAAGTGCCACCGAACGCCTCCATTGGTCTGGATCTCCAGGGTCACCAGCGGGCACTTGGGTCAAGCGTGCTTCAATATCTGCCACAAGAATGGCATCACCATCGGGACCCTCGTAAATGCCCTCAAGAAGCCGGGTTAAGGCCATCGGGTACCCCAAAGGTCCCCCATCTCGGCCTTCTACGGCGGCTTTTTTCCAAAGAAGACCCAATGCCAATTTGACTTCTTCCCAGTCTTCGTGACCATGTTCAAGCAATCTAAGCCATGCCTCCCGCGCTTCTCGCGTTTCTAATTTCTTGAGGAGTGCAACCTCGTTTGGGCCGCAATCCAACCCCGCATAGACTGCAGTCTTCTTTTTCCTGAAGGAATTGCAATGGTGCCGCTGCACAATCAAAGGCACATCGATGGAAAAGCTCAACCCAGAACTGCCCCACAGCAACGCAGCCAAGCCGCCAAACATTGCAGCTGGCATAAATTTTGGCGCTCGACGCATGGCAGGGTGAGAATGAGTATATATAATTCAACCTTTTGCCTGACGTGCTTGATCCAAATCCAAACCACAATCGACTGATGCCCACGCTCTTCACACATTCTTGGCATCCACACCCAGGCTTGGGAATAAGGGTGAAGTGCTAGATTTGGACACTGAGACACTCCTAGAAACTACATCCATTTTCCACGCTGCAGATGTGATTCAGAAACGCGGTGCTGCTCACTAAATGAGACTTTTCACCCGCTCACCTGGACTTGCCGCTCGTGATTGCCTTGACATAGGATGCCTTAGCGTGCAGAAACTTACGCAAATGTCACACTTGCCATTGAAGATGTGCATGGTTAAAAAAAATGTTGCGTACGTCTAACCTTGTTAAACTCAGATTGCGCGGTCTGACCAACAAGAACGATAAAGTCAAGGTGTCAATTGCATAAAAAACTTGAGATCCGGGAAAATATCCAGGTCTCGGCACATTGTACAATGTACATGACTGCTGAACTACCCGGCGCCTGGCGGGCGAGGGATCAATAAAAACCAAAAATGAATCAAAAAATAAAATATTTCAGGGGATCAAGAAAAAACAAAAATGAATCAAAAAGAACATTAAAAAAACGTAAACGGACCCAAACGTGCAGAGGGAAGAGCAATATTCCATTAACGGGGGGGGTCAACAAAAAATAATAAATGAATCAAAAAATAGACATATTTCAGTGTGATCAAGAAAAAAACAAAATAAACGGACCCAAACGTGCAAAGGGAAGAACAATATTCCATTCGAAGCAGTGATAACAAGAATAAAAAAACACAAACAGTAAATCACATGAAATGAAAATGCAAATGAATGAAAGAAGGAAGAAAGAATGAATGAGTCAATGAACGAATGAAATGAATGAAATGAAAACGCTCAACAATTAAAAGCGGGAGGGGGCGCGGGGGAGAGCGCAGCGCCTCCCCCGCAATGTAACTTGGCACGACCAAAAAACAAACATCATGGAGTTTCCCCAATGAATAGTGCTTTGATACAGTAACTGCAATGGTCTCTGTGCTGGGCATCTGGGCAAAGTTTTGCAACATCGCATTTCAATTTCACAGCCTTCCTTCCTTCCTTCCTTCCTTCCTTCCTTTCATCCCGCTAGCCCTTCCTTCCTTCCTTCCTTCCTTGCTTCCTTGCTTCGTTTCTACCTACCTGCCTACCTACCTTCCTTCCTTCCTCCCGCTAGCCCTTCCTTCCTTCCTTCCTTGCTTGCTTGCTTGCTTGCTTCCTTGCTTCCTTGCTTCCTTCCTGCCTTCCTTCCTTCCTTTCTTGCCTCGTTCCTTCCTTCCTGCCTTCCTTCGTTCCTTCCTTTCTTCCCTTGCTCGTTTCTTTATATGTTTTTTGATGCATTTTTATGTCTTTTGATGCATTTTTGTTGTTCGTTTGATGCATTTTTACTTATTTTGATGCGTCTCCTGCGCCGGGCTGAGCAGCGAAACTAATTCCAGGTGCCCACCGACGCAACAACATAGAAAAGTGGAACCATTGAAAATACATGCAAACACACAAGCAGGGTCACATCCAACAGTTTCACGCCAAGGTGTCCTTCACGCGTCTCCTGTCACACATCTCAGCTTTGCTGGATGTGACAAGCCTGGCCCCTGCATTAGGTACCACACCCCCATCACTGGCCAACAGGAGCACACTCATACAACCACGCATGTTCGGTAGCAGAACCATTGGAGCACTCCTTTGCTGTATGTACGCATGGGGCACATGCCCCATTGTGGACACCTGTGCCAACACAGCTACTCCACGATGAGGGAAGGGAAGGTTGATCACCTCCACGCACGCGTTGTTCTGCTAAGTTCCATGTTTCGAAAATGGTGTGCTTGTGAGGACTTTTTGATGCTTTTGAAGATTAATAAAAGTTGATGTGGCTTCGGAGGTAAACGTTCGCGATGCCAGATATGCAGCCCGGGGGAGACTGCATTATTGACATCGTGTGTGTGTGTGTCAACCCCTGTACCTAAGGGTTCCACCTTGTTTTTAGTTTTGAATGCTTCTTCAGCAGCGGATGGAGACACCTGTATTGCTTCTCCATCAACGAAGCTTGCAATACATGGTGAGGATATCAGTTCCGGACGCGGAACTGACGTACCTGCTTTCAACACACCGACTCCAATGGTCCACCCTGCTGCTGTTCGTTGGTTCCATGGTCCTTCTTCACGATACTCTCCCACAAACAGGTTTGCCACCGCAGTTCTCAGCCGCTCGTGAGTTGCAGCCGACCGCGCGAGAGTTTGACCACTGAGTGAAACAATTGTTCAACACTTCAAGTGACCTGACTTTTTCGCCTTGCTGTTCCCTCACCTTCCTTCTCAGCTTGGGAACTGAGCTAACTGAAAACCAATGTCAGAGTGTGAACCGCTCAGCCGTCCCACTTGGGTGCTGGGCGTGATCCTCCGCAAGGAGGCGCTGCAATCATTCCGGAATTCGTGTTACTGATTCTTCGTTTCCACCATTCGGATTTTCTTAACCGACTTTGTTTCACTACTGAATTGTCTGAACAAAAAGCCGCCGGGCTTTCACGGATACCACAGCCGCCGGGCTAAAAAACGGAATTCATCTCACTTGAGGCCAGGCATGTTTCCCAACCCCCCCCCCACCGAGTTCTACTCCCTACCTAATTAGGGTAACGCAAGGAAATGGTACTCGACACACTTGTGTGTCGGTGCCTTTCCCTTTGTTGTCCCTGTTCTAGTCTTCTCTACCCGGGCGGTCTAAGACTAAAGTCCCGCTCCCTAACTATTGCATTTAATTCACTTCCGCTAAGTAATCAGTACTTCACACACGGACACACACATGTACATACACCTCCCTGCCCCCCCCGCATTCTTTCTTGCGCTTTTGGTCGTTTCTTGGGCTTTCTCTCACTATTCAGGTTCTTCGCACGAGCGCCGCAAAGCGGCACCGTGTGTCAACCCCTGTACCTAAGGGCTCCACCTTGTTTTTAGTTTTGAATGCTTCTTCAGCAGGGGATGGAGACACCTGTATTGCTTCTCCATCAACGAAGCTGGCAATACATGGTGAGGATATCAGTTCCGGACGCGGAACTGACGTACCTGCTTTCAACACACCGACTCCAATGGTCCACCCTGCTGCTGTTCGTTGGTTCCATGGTCCTTCTTCACGATACTCTCCCACAAACAGGTTTTCCACCGCAGTTCTCAGCCGCTCGTGAGTTGCAGCCGACCGCGCGAGAGTTTGACCACTGAGTGAAACAATTGTTCAACACTTCAAGTGACCTGACTTTTTCGCCTTGCTGTTCCCTCACCTTCCTTCTCAGCTTGGGAACTGAGCTAACTGAAAACCAATGTCAGAGTGTGTTCGTCCGTGTGTCCTGCCCGACCGAGACAGACAGACGGACGGACGGACGGACGGACAGACAGACAGACCGACAGACCGACCGAGACAAACAGACCGAAACAAACAGACCGACCGAGACAGAGACAGACCGAGCAAGACAGACCGAGACAGACACACTCCCTGCGGGCGGCTTCGAGCGCGAAGCGCTCTGAATAGATGATAGTGAAAAATACATTGAAGGTACATGTTGGACGGAAATAAAATTGCATCACATAACAACTGGTCGATGTTGATCTTTGTCAGAATTCCAAGGTTCGCACAGGCAGTGAAACAACTAACCCCCGCGGAGGCCAGCCCGTACACACAAAGGCTACAATTCCACCACCACATCATCATACAAGTCTTAAGCTTCCTTCGCATGCTGATGTCATATCAGTCAGAGCCAGAGCTTCCAAGTGTTTCGTGACATGCTGCTGCGGGCATTTGAACATTGTATTTTAGACTTTGGAGTGCCTTCTTTTCGATCGCCTCTCTTTGCACTTCCTGAGTGGCTCTTTGTCACTAGTTTAATATATCTGGACCTGGGCAGCAGTAGTGTCTC